GTATCGGCAAGTACCAAAAATAAAAGTATCGGTATCGGGCGAGTACTGGAAAAAGTGGTATCAGTGCATCCCTAATTCAGTTCAATTTGATGATGACCGTTTGTGGACTGCAGTCTTCAAGTCATTCCACAGATTTCCAATTGGGTTTAAGTCTGGGCTCTGACAAAGCCATGCAAGAACATTCACCTTTTTCTCCTTCAACCACTGTGTGGTCAGTTTTGCTGTGTGCTTTGGGTCATTGTCATGTTTGAAAGTAAACCTTCTTCTCATTGATGACTTTCTGGCAGAGGACAGCAGATTTTCCTAAAAAATGTGATGGTATTTTGCCCCATCCATTTTCCCTTCTATCCTGACAAGTGCTACAGTCCCTGCTGAGGAATGGTGCATTTGGATGGTGAGCTGTATTGGATTTCAGCCATATAAATTGTTTGGTGTTGAGGCCAAATAATTCAATAACAAGTTTTAATCTCATTTGCCTCAGAATCTATAAGGTGTGTTTTTGGCAAAGCTCAGTCATGACTGCATGTGACCTTTCTTGAGAAGTGGCTTTTTTTCTTGCAACCCTCCCATACAAGCCACATTTGTGGAGAATTTGTGATATTGTTGTCACATGCACACAATGACCACTCTTTGTCATAAATTCCTACAACTGCTTCAGAGTTGGAGGGTCTGTGTTGTACTAAATACCTTCCACATAGACTTCACTGTGCTTCTAGGCATTGATAAAGCCTCTGAGATCTTTTGACAGTGGCTACGTTTACATGCACAATTTTTGGTTCAATCGGACTGAATTCATTCCGATTGATGAATCTGAATGTAGTGTTTACATAATCGCTAAATAAAGTGATAGGGTTGATGTGCGCGTTTATATGTCACAATCTTAAAATCGGAATTGATATTTTTTTTACATGCACACACTGTAGAGTTTCTTACTGTTTGTGCATAATAACCACTCTCCAACATGGTTTCTTTATTTGTTTTTAACAGAATTAATATTTATCCATTTATGGATAAAACAAGGACAGGTGGAAGGTTATCCTGCTCCACTTCACAGTGAAAGGAGAGTTCCCTTTCATGGGAACTTCGAACTGCGTCCTCTAGGGGTCGCTATGGGGAACGCCTCGTCGTGACCCGTGTCTGAAGCATACATTGAAAAAACACCAAACCATGGTTACATAAGTAACCTGAGACGTTTTATAATGAAAGGACACGCATTTATACAACACTATATTCAAAAGGAAGAGCCGCTCGTTCCACGTGTCATACGTCATTACGCTATTTCTGCGTCATTGCACATGCGCAGTGCTTCCAGTTTCGGGGTTTCTTGCCACCCATAGTTGATTGTTTGCTTCATTTGCACTAGCAAGGACTGAAATGCTCCAGGAAAGCTCTTTTCACGCTGAGCTAATCAAAATGACTGACAACAGCTGATCACAGTTGAAAGTCACATGGGTTTGTGTGCCATTGAGAAGGTGATTGGCTACACCTGATTGAGTTTACAAGTCATTTTGAGGAAAGGGTGATACTTTTTTCAACTCAGTGATTTCTGTTTATTTTTTTCTGACATGTTGGTGTTATATCTTTCACTTGGATGTTAAAGCAAAAACAAAAGCAGTGTCCGTCTTTATTTCAGGCTGCAAAGCAACAAAATGTGATTATTTTAAAGGGAGGTGATACTTTTCTATACCCACTGTAAATTCTTCAATTCAGTTGATTCATTTGCATAGTCAGATATTTTATTTATGTTGCCTTATCAAACTTTTGCTGCAGCAGCAGTTTATTTCTGCATTGTAAATGCATTTAAATTCATAATATTTTTTCAAAACAACATCTCTTAATCTTCAGCAGAGAAGTGTATTGTACCAACTCTCACGAAAAGTGAATCAAACTGACGCTTTCCATGTTCTTTGTGATTGGCTGTTTGCTGCAAGTGTCACACTTTCAGGTGCACGTGCTCCAGAGTTAATCAGAAACTCTGGATCAAACCCTGAGTTGACAGAGGATGTTTATATCGAGTGCTGTTAGCCTGCTGAACCTGATCTAAACCAGGCGGGATATTGTTTGGTTTTGTCAAATCTAAACCAAGTCTGAAACAAAAATCATAATTGTCGATTATTCTCTTGAAATTGTAATTGCGATTATTAATTACAATTACCACAATTTACATTGAATGATGTTTATACCATTGTTAGAAGCAACTGCATGCCATATTTCTATATGAAAATAAAGAAGCTGAACACACTCACTTTTATTGCTTTTCTATAGTATTAAGTCTCAAATGTCAACTATACATTAATGGGATTGGTTTCTTCTTTAAATAAAAAAAGTTAAAATTTTATTATAATGTTATACTAAAACTAAAATTTAAACAATGGAAAAACCCTTAAGCTAACCTGTATAAAAACAAAACAAAAAAAACACATCTTAAGCACGCAGAATAACATAAGTGGACTTTGAACGATTAATTGCCGCTTTGAACGATTATGTAATTGTGGCATCCGTAATTGTAATCATGATTAGAAATTCGATTAATTATGCAGCCCTAGTAAGCATTAGATACCTCTTTCAAAAATATTTTAAAAAATCATACCGACCTCAACTTTTGAACAGTAGTGTATGTACCATTTGACATTGTTTTGATATTATTGTTTATTTTAATCATATCTTTGTGGGCTATAAATAAAGAAATAAGACAATTTGTTAGAAATAAGGCAAATTGTCCATTCAAGGTCAAAGACAATGACTACGTTTACATGGACATCAGTAATCTAATTATTTACCTTATTCTAATGACTTTAGCCGGAATAAGGTAATCAAAAATCTCTGTTTACATGGTAGATTCTTAATCAGAGTATTGTCTTAATCGTATTAAAATCGGAGTATTGTTGTCCATGTAAACGTACTGAGTGACAATGCTGGGAAGCAGTAATTTCCCTTTGCTTGTTTGTGCTAATCAGAAGGACAACTAAACAGAAATATACAACTAAGATTATTTAATAAACTCTGATCAGTTGTAACATCACTTTATCTCCTGCTTCCTGCTTTTTCTCTGTCTCTTTGCTCATAAGAGATTTAATAAATGTTTAACATTTGAATATCTGACCTAAATTTGACATTTCAAACATTCAACACTTTTTTTTCAATTGTGGCACAAGGGGTGATGACAGGAACTTAGCATACAGCAGATTATAGAGTTTACAACCTGTGCAACAACATCAGAGATGGAGGCAGATCCCACTAGCAGGCTGTGCTTGTGCTTCAGGAGGATTCCAGCATGAATCCATGCCTTTGGAGCAAAATCAAATTAGTACAAATGAAAAAAAGTATGTACCATTCTACTTTGACTATTTCTGCAGTATGCATACTGCGTACAGTGAATTATCTGCATGCATGGAATACCACATGGAAACTATACTATAATAAAACTGCCAACAACTGCAGTATACAGAATATAGTGCTCAAAATTCTGTATACCACAATGCAATGTGCTAAATGTGACCGTCCATTTGCATTTTATAACAACAATAATAACAATTAGCTGCAATTCTTACACCTCTTGTTTGACTGCAAGATTTACTGCATTTTTACACAAATCAGATTAATAATTTTCTTTGCATAGCCCATGCTATTTCACCAAAAATTGTACGTAAGCAAAGTATGCAGCAAAAGCTATTCCAATTCTAATCCAAAAGATGATCTTGAATCTCATATTAAAGTTTTAATATGAAGTTCTTACTCACCATTGCATCTAATAATGGAAATACTGCGAGGTACAGGAATGCCTTTCTCGTCTTGTTTCCAACTGAATCATCCACATGGTGGAGCTTATTTATGATGTAGTAGCCCAGATCTGTGTAAGCTGGGGAAATGTGACAGTTTTTAATAAAGGCTTTCCAATGAAGAAATCTAGTGAACTAGAAATAGTATTCACAGGACAAACACACCTATTAGGATGTGGAGGCTGATGGCAATGACCCCAGCCACAACCATACAGAGGACCGCCTTGGTTCTCTCCTTCTTACTGTTGACAAACACGAGTCCCACATTTTTGAAGTCGCTCATGGGTCCAGTGAAGAACTTCATAAGCGAGTATGCCAGACCATAGCTGGCCAACATCTCAACCCTGTCCTCTTTCACAGAAGCGATGCCCCTGTTTAGTGCCTGAAGCAGGCATGAGAAAGAGAAAGGGCACGTTTCATTGCTGTGTGTGTGTGTGTGTGTGTGTGTGTACATGTATAAAGACAGCTCAAAACAATTAAGAGACCACCTAATTATCACAGTATAACACCAGACAATTAAACAGGGATAGGAAGCAGAAGTGATTGTGAATCAGTTTTATCTTCTTTAGTGCAAGTGACAACAGGTGCACTAGAGAGGCAAAAGCAAGACAACAAAAAGGAAATGGTTTTGCAGGTGGTGGACACAGACAATTGCTCTCTCTTTATCCTTCCTGACTTAACTTATGTTAGCTTATTGTTGTCTTTTCTGAGGAAAATTATGTTACGTGACTATTCACAAGCTGTATTATTGATGGTATAAATGCCTGGAAATAATACTTAACGTTTTCAAATCCATTTATTATTAGTAGTGCGTCAGCCACCTAATAATCGCAATAGGCTTTGTGCTTGTTATTTTTAATATAACACAAAGTCTCAGCCTTTCAATTCTGTCGATTTTATCACAGAATACAAACAAATAATGTGTTTTTACGCTTTTTACGCTATTGCATGAGATCACTGTATTCACCTCAGTTCAAGTGGTGAATCAATCATCTTTTCCTCTTTTCTATTAGTTATAGCACAAAACAAACATTAATGAATATCAGGCATGTTGACAAAAATCAGAACAATTTAATAAAATGAATGTAATCAAGTCTCATGTAATCGATCAATCAATGTTTCGGGAAAAAAAAAAATAGGTCAATAAAATAGCTTGTGAATCGTCGTAACAGTCTGTGGGATTACAAATTGAAGAATCTGTTTAAAATATGCTGATCCTATGTTCTGACATAGCATCACATGAAAAACTAAGGTGAAGTACATTGTATTTAGCATTTAAGGTAAATTACATCAAACAAATGATTATCTTAAGCAAAGTGTAGCAAGAGGTTCCTGTCTGCTTCGACGAGGAAAAAGTTTCCTACAAGTCGTAACAAAACATTCTTTGCCAACATTGTACATACTTCAAACTTTATAACTTCCTTTTATTGCTGTTTTTCATGTTGAATCCGTGTGAAGAATGCAAGGTTAGTTGGCTTTTTTTCACATTAATTAACTTTATACAGGCAATATAACATGGCTTTCTTCTCATAAAATATTAAGACTTTAATCTCTTAATTTTAGATTTTTTTTTTTTTTTACGTGGCACTAAAACAGCTGTATTTATTAAACTACTGCATGCAAGCACAATCTTGGCACAGCGGCCCAAATGCATTAAGAAAAAACTACTCACTCAATTTAATTGCATTCTCCAAGCCTTTCTTCCAGCAAATTCTCGCACAATGTCTTAGGTGTTTAATCTAAGGTTTTATGTATTCTCAATGGTAAGAATGGCTAGTTTCGATAGTCTGCTCTTTGCCATGGAGTTCAGCAAATAATTTGTATTAGCTTCAGTTTTGAAAATGAGCGCTCCACTGAAGCCACAGTAACAGAAGAGAATTAAAATGAAAGAAAGAGAATTAAAAGGGTGCAGGTGTCGCTGTAGCTAGATTTTATACAGCTGTGATACAGTCTTTTCAACTAGCTGGCTACCAACTTCACAGTTTTTTTAATTATTATTTTTTATTTTATTTGGCCACGGTGATGCAGCATTTGCACATAGTTAAAGATTATGCAGTTCTATGGCATTTACGGCAGCAATATAACAAATGCCCACAAGAAATTATGGAGGAAATTCTGGGAGACAGGCTGTTACATAAGGAGAGCAGGACAGGGGCAACAACCAGTAGTCGAACCAGCATAGGCGTAATTTGCGGGTGGGACGGGTGGGACATGTCCCCACCACTTTTTGCCAGGGTCGATATTGTTCCTACCACTTTTTGAAAGTAATTGAAAAATATATTGCAGAAGGTACGTATTAAAGGGAAAACAAGATCAACAAATCATTCTTCATAATCTAATTAGGGTGATAAAAAAAAAAACATTTGACTCCTTATGCATGCATAACTCGTGCAGTGCAATAACGACGTGATTTGCAGCTGTCGCACTTTTCCTAACGTCATTAGGCTATAGCATTGTATTTAAAAAAATGGAAAGCTTCCATGTGCTAAGTAGGCCTGCCCTCTACTAAAGATCTTTCTAGTCAACTAGTCGCACGTTATATTAAATTGATTAATATAATAATATATTAACCATACTTCAATATAGGCTATAGGCAGACGAATTAGGATAGAGCCTATTCCGCGCTCAAGCTCGCGCATAAAGCAATTGCCTCAAAGCACC